GGAAAAGACAGAGAAAAAAAGATCAAGACAATCCGAAATGGCAAATCGGACATTGGTCATAGAAGGATTACCGAAAGACGTGACTAAAAAAAAGATTTATAAAAGAGCCAGGAAGTTTGGCGATGTTGAGGACACAATTTTTCCTATTGAAGAAGGAAAAAACATCGGTAAGATCATTATTGTTGAATCTTGGTGTTATTGCTGGTGCGTAGAGAAGGCTCTATTTCTGTGTGCATGATACCAAAAGTTCGTTTTGATATATTTCAAGAATTTTGATATTTATCGCAAGTGGCGATATCACCGGGGGTGCTATATATCTATAACGTACTAAGTAAATAAAGTCAGAATACCTAAGTAAAAATGGTCAGAACCCTGAAAACCTCACGAGAACTGAGACAGGGACCTTATATCTAATTTACATTGTTATATAAACTCCTCTATCCTAAAATCGCACTCTAACCCTAAACTATATAAAGGGTGGTTATATCGCCACCGGTGGTAAATGCTTACCATATTTGTGTACACAACAAAATCAACGTGATGAATCATTTCAATTGCAATCTAGCACATATAACTTTCAAAACTGAAAAAGACGCAGCTGAAGGGTTGAAGCGCTTGGATGGACATGTGTTTCATGGATCAAAAATGAATGCAAAATTGTTGGCTGAAAAAGTAAGATAGCTTTATTTAATAATGAAGACATATCATTTATTAATAATTTATACACGCCATTCATCATAGAAAGCATCGGTTGACAAAAAATGCCGATTGATCGTTCGCAATATTCCTTGGGAGGTATAGTCTCATATATTTCTTTTTTCTTTTTTTAAGATATAAGTTTTTTATTAATAATAACCAATTTTGAACAGTATCAAGAACCAGAACTTTTAAAAATTTTCTCTGTACATGGAGAAGTAGTTGAAGTAAATTTACCACGTAAACATTCAAATGGTCCCTTACGTGGATTTGCTTATATACAATATAAAAAAGTTGAAGAGGCGGAAAGGGTATATATGCTGATGCTTTTTTAGTGAACTTGCTTTTGGTTTCAATTAATATTTTTAAATAATAGGCAATCAACGCAATGAACGAAACCATACATCATGGTCGGACTATTGCTGTTGATTGGTCATTACCTAAGGATAAGTATTTGGAAGCTATGAAATCTCAACAAGACAAGCAAGATTATGAACAAAAAAATAATGATTATTATATCGATTCCTGTACTGAGAGATCTGAAGAGGAACCAGAGGAATTGAGTGAAAATGAAACGGATGAAAGCGAACATCACAATAGTGACTCTTATGAAAACAGCCTGATGGATATTGATGAAAGTGAAATTGACAGTATTGAAGACAGCAACAAAAATAAAAATTCAGTCAAAAACAAAAATTGTGCACTATCGGAAGATGCAGTCTTATTTATCCGCAATGTTTCCTTTGAAGCCACCGAAGACGAATTGAGTGACATGTCAGTTGGTATTTAATATACATATTCCACAATTAGTATGTAAACACAAATATAAAATTATTTACTTAAATTATAGATTTCGTCCATTTGGTCCGTTACGTTATTGTGTAATAACGAAGGATGATACAACAGGCCGTTCACGGGGCACTGGTTTTGTATGTTTTGTATACAAAAAGCACGCAGATGCGTGCCTTGAAGAGGCGAAAAGCGTAAATCACATCGGATCTGGTCCAACGGAACGGCCAGAATCGTCAACCAATGAAAAGAAGCGTAAAGGGATAATTTATAAATCAGTTCTCACAGCTGATCCATCAGACTCGCAAGCGCTCAAATTTACATTACATGGTAGAGTTTTATCAATAGTCAAAGCAGTTGATAGAGATGAAGCTCATAGATTAACGGAAGAAAATAAAAATAAAAAGCAAAAAGAAGATCGAAGAAATACATACTTGATTAAAGAAGGAGGTATGTATGTTGAATTATGTTCTGAAAAATAAAAATTTTCCTGCTAATTTCTTATCCTTTTATAATTACTTGTTTTATAGTTGTATTCCCAAATACACCAGATGCAGCATTGCTAACACCTTCGGAAGTAGCTAAACGTGCAACATCATTTTCTAATCGAAAGAATTTGTTGGCAAAAAATCCAAACCTCTTTATATCAAAAACTAGGTTGTCCTTGAGAAATTTGCCACTTTCTGTAGATGAAAAAAAATTAAAAAACTTAGGCAAGGAAAGCATTAAAAAGTTCAAAGAAGAAGTTAAAAATGGTAAAAAAGCAGATTTAACAAAAACAGAGAAATCGGAAGGGTGGGACAAATTAGTTCATATCAAACAGGTACTGCGATTAATAATAATAATTTTGCACTTTTATAATGCAACATTTAATAACACATACTCCTTAGGCAAAAATTGTTCGGTCTAAAGATCGAATTGATTCTACAATGCAAAAACTGCGATCGAAAGGTTATGGATTTCTTGAATACACACAACACTCACATGCATTAGCAGCATTGAGATATCTTAACAATAACCCAGATATATTTGGTGAAAAGAGGAGGTTGGTTGTAGAATTTGCAATTGAAAACAGTATTATTCTTAAAAAACGGACTGGGTTATCAAAAAATAGAGACAGCAATATTAGATGCAACAAAGTTGATGATAATAATAGTAATGGTATTGAAGTTACAAAATCAAATGGTAATTCACATTCAGAAAAGATATTCAGAGATGAAAGTAACAATAATTTGAAGAGAAAGGTTAGAAAATTGTTTATTTATTTTGTCATATTATGAAACTATAGTCATACGAAAAAATTCATATATCGTGCATGTTTTAGGTGGAGATGGTTAAGTCTGAGGATCAAACTAAAAAGAAAGTGAAAACTTTTCACAAGAAGTCGCAATCCAGAGTTAATAAAAAAAGCAAAATATAACTGGCGCAAATAAACTATATATTTATTGTGTATATGTTTTAATTTACAACTGCAAAATACAAAATGAGAAATTGGCTTATAAGTCTAGCACAAGTGATATTTCGATTGATTGTTTTTAAATAATGGTTTATTTGTTTTCATTCCAACATTTATTTCGACTATATTCGATAACTGCTTTATAATATGTGGTCAACAAAAGAAAAAAAAAAAACTTTTAACCGTAGAGTTGCTTCGAAGAGAATAAAAAATTTTTTATCAAACCATATTATCTCTCATAAAGAAACGCAAATAATTATTCAAGTGCAATATCCTATTTATAATATAGAGTTATTTGGCACGTGGTTAGGGTTGCGACCCAAACTCTTTTTTTAGTTACGACGTTTCTACTTAGTTTGGGTTTGGGAATCGGTATTTCTACCTAGTTTGAGTTCATAACGATAACCAAAACCCGAATATATATCCCATTTCGGTAAATAGTGTCAAACTCAAAACTATCAATTCATTAAATAAATATTCGTCATTTAATAGAATAATCTTTAACGTTAAATTATCCAACAAATTTGACCTTTAATCAGGTTTATAGATAATCTAAAGACCGAATCCAATTCAAGAACCATGGATAGATCGATTATCGATTAATTAAATATGGAGTGTCTCGTATTAAAAGGGACATATAAACAATTTTGAGTAAATTAGGTTTAAAAACTGCGGCTTACCACGTGATCATCCAAAATTATAATTTAAAAATAATATTCACATAGTTCTAAAAACCCAGTATATACAATGGCCTTTTTATTTATTATAGTATTAAATTATTTCATTCTCTTGTTTAAACTAGTAAGCTAATAATTCAACAACTATTGTAAGAAACTTTTTTTTAGCAAAATATCTTTTTTTAAACTTGTAACTAGATACAAAAAAAATAAAAATTTCAAAGCCTGCTAGCAATATACTCTTCTTATTTCAAGTGATTGGATCTAGTAATGAAGACTTTTTTTTAATTCAAGTGGATTTGTGTAATAACTACAAACTTTTTTAAAAACTTTATTTTATTTTTTTTTTTTTTGGCAATCCTGCCTTTATTATAAGAGGTAATAATAAACTATTCTAAAAGAATTACTACTAGATAATAGTTTCCCTCTTGCACAATAAAGACTTATCCAGTTACCTAAGTACCTAAATGCAATCTGCCGCAGCAAGAAATTTTCTTTAATTGCAAGTCTTCTAACTGTCTAGAAGTTCCTTGACAACGTTATTGTTAAGCTACTATCCTTTTTTTTTTTTTAGATAATATTCAAGGACTTTGTAGTTTTATAGTGGTGAAAATTATCTTTGTCAGTGGCTTCATAGTGGTGTAGATTGTTCTTGCTGGTAGTTTTTTTTGTTGATTGTTCTTTTTTACATTGTTCTAGCACATAACTATTCTTTTTTTTTCAGGTAATGCTCAAAGACTTTGTTAGTGGCTTCATAGTGGTGTGAATTATTTTTGTCAATGACTTCATGGTGGTGCAGATTGTTCTTGCCAGTAGGTTTTTTTGTTGGTTGTTCTTGTTTCATTACTCTAGCACATATATATGCCAACTAACCTCTTCTTATTTCAGATAGTGCTTAAAGATCTTGTCAGTAGCTTCGTGGTGGTGCAAATTGTCTTTGTTGGTGGCTTCATGATGATGCAAATTGTTCTTGTTGGAGGGTTTTTTTTGTTAGCTTTTTTTCTGTTTTAATACATGTATATGTTAATTAATCTTCTTTTTTTAGCTAACACTCAAGGATCTTATCAGTGACTTTGTGGTAGTGCAAATTGTCTTTATCAGTGGCTTTGTGATGGTTCAGATTGTTTTTTCAGTAGATTTTTTTTTTGTTAGTTGTTCTTTTTTTCATTATTTCAGCACATATATATGTTAGCTAACCTCTTCTTATTTTAGATAGTGCTTAAAAATTTTTTAGCAGCTTCGTAATATACAAATATTATTGTTAGTAGTTTCATGATCATGCTTACTGATAGTGGTCTTTGCTTGTTCTTTTTTAGTTAGCCTATATATATATAGTGATTATTATATAAAAATAAATTTTTTATAAAAAGAAAAAATTATAAAATGCTTGTTTAAACTTCTTTGAATCTAAACTTGGGCCTGAAGGGAAAATCATTAGCAAATCACTTTGCAAGAACTCTATACTAACTTGAATCGAATCTATAAGATTGATTAGCAAAATAACAAGTTAAATAGCATAGCACAGATATGCCAGCTGATGGATCTATTGCATAGTACGGGTTGGGTCACAATACAGTTCACGTGTTGGATCAATCTATATGTTATGTTACTTTTATATTCTGTGATTGGATTAGAAGTATATCTCTCACAGAAGATACCTAAAAGCACTCATAAAAAAAGGTCAAATTTTTATTTTGAGAAATACTTATTTTTTAAAATAATAATCTGAACAATATCTAAATAGAATTTTAACTTTTTTTTATAGAGTATAATGTGATTTATTTCCATGGCTGTAGTAATAATGCAAAAATCTTGTGCTGTGATTATACTCTATAACTGCCCAGGCAACAGTACAATAACTTTATAATGTAATTGCTGCTATATAGTCCAAGAACTCATGTTGTAATTAGGTTCTATGATGGCTGCAAATAGTGCAAAAGCCTCATGATTAGTGATTAGACACTATAGCTATAATAGCAGTGGCTTTGTGAATAGGCTCTATATATGTGATAGCAATACAAAAAACTTGTAATTAAGCTCTATAGCTATCACAAATAGTGCAGAACCTTTATTTTTGATAGTTAAGCACCACAGTTACGATAGCAGTACAAAAAACTTATATTGTAATTACACTCTGTAGCTGTGATAACATAAATTAAAATTTAATTAAGTAAAAACCAACAATAACTTTTTAATATTTGCTGAATACAATTAATTGTATTAAGGGTAGAGGGCATAGCATGTTAATCATTTTTCATATGATATTTGTAATACAACATAATTTTTGCAAAAAAATAGAAACATGCTACTAATAAAACTTTTCATAGTTACAATTAATTTTTATAAAATTTTTGTAGTAAATAAAT